TTACATTCAGCTGGCTGAGGAGCTCCAGAAACCCCCCGCACCCTTTAGATGCTTCGATTGGAAAGCGGCGAGCCAGCATTTACACCCACTTCATGGAGGAAATTTGGCATTGTTGCGATTATATATAAATAATGCCGTCTTTTGATATGTTTGTGGCTATATAAAGCGTTCGAGGCTATTTTGATGTTTACGCCATTGACATGTTTCTGGCACCAAAGTAAAGTTTGACACCCAGAACTAATTTACGTAGGCTGTGAAATCCACTTCCTGTGTGACCAAAGTTCCTCCACACAGTTTAACGTGCCAAAGTTTGTCCAGTTCGTAACAGTAAAGCTGGAAAATGATTTAAACAGAGTCTTCAGCCAAACACACCCAGTGCTGGGTGTAGTGGAGACAGTGCTATTGACAGAAATAAAAGCTATTCACAATGTCAAGTGTATTGCTGTTAAGTCAAACTAGATGATCGGGTTATTGGTTGTTTGACCTTCAAAGAGTTCAGAGTATCAGAGCAATAAGTGATTGTTCATGTCAAAAACTGGACGGTATGTGGGTGTCGTTCTGTCTGCAGACAACCACACAATTAATTCCACTGTGAGAGAATTGTGCTCAACACTTTGAGCGCAGGCAGTTTTACACTCTGTGGGATCAAGCTCAAATCCAGTTTGAGCGTGTATAGTCTTGTTGGTGTGTTTGTTTATGAAATCCTGTGATGAAACCTGCCTCACCCAGCCGTTAATCCCCAATGAGAGTTTTACTGGCTGATAGTGATCCATCATCCAAATGCAGAAATTTTTTCCCCCACCCTGACAAGACACATTCTCTAGAACCATTCTCCTGTTTAGCTCGTGCGAAGTTTTTATTACACGCTGAAACCACTGCTATTTGCATTAAGACAGAGGCTTTTTATCTTTTTGACCATGAAATGGGAAGTAAGCAAAGGAGGAATATCAGCTTCTGTCCAAAAATATCTTCAAAAGCAAAAAACATAAAAGCATTCCCCTACTGGGACAACGTCTCCGTCTCTTTCTCTGCCCCTCTGTCTCACAGCTGCAATATCATCCTCGAGTCCAAGGTCTCTCCTAGCTCCCCGAGCATCACTCAACATGTCACCTGCCTAACCTGTTGCCTCCCCATCTCAGTTCCCCTCCATTGCAGTTTGCTTTTTTTTTTTTCCCACCGACTGAAATATCCTCTCTGGCAGAACAATTCAAATAAGACACAGTGTTTGCTTGGGCGCACAGTCTTCAGAGCTTGTCCTTTCGCACATCGGCTCCAAGTTGCAAGCCACCTGCTTGTATTGGATGCAAATAGGGTATTAAAAGAGGGGAGAGAAACATGAGATAGCGTGACACGGGGAGGCTGAGGAGAGAGAAAGAGCGCGAAGGATAGAGAGAGAGGCTTAATGTGAGAAGAGAATGCAAATGCTGTTGAGACAAGGCAGGATGGATGCAGGAGTGCTGGATGGATGGTTGGATTAGGGGAGAAAGAAAGGCGAGGGTCAGGTGTTGGTATGACTTTTCGCCAGGGTCAAGGTTTTTCTCTGGATGACGGCAACGGAGCTGGATTTGCATTGATGGATCTTCTTTCCATGGGGATGTCATGTATCAGTGCTTGGGTACATCACGCCCCAGTCATTAATCAAATCATGGCCTCCGTCTAGAGCTATCTGTCTGCCAGGCGCTTCTCATCTGTCTACCTTGTCTTTCTCTTTGTAGTAGACTCGCTCTGCGTCTCGCTTGTTTTCTTTCTGCACTTGTAAATGATTTCAAATGATTTTAGATGCCCGCTGTAAGGACACGCAGCAAGCCTTTAAAGTTAAAATGCAGCAAGATTGTGATAAAAGCAGAGCAGGTGACATTAGCAGGTACTAAATGTAATGGTTTGCTGCGGCGATAGTATCAGTAAGAAAATGGTGCTGTTGTCTTACTCACCTGTCATTGTTAATAAACTGTAAAGTCTAAAATCTTACAATCATGTATAAATAGTTACAATGACTGTGCTCACACAACATTTTGTTTTCTAAATAATTGATATAAATAGACGCGTGCACAGGCCTGATTTCCACTCCCACTGTTTACCATAGCTGGATGTAGACACACCCTTAATCAGTTGTTTGCATACATCTGCTCCACCACTCTGACTATGAAAATAACAGCAAAGAAGAGAAGTTTCACATGATCGCATTGCCAAAGATCTTTTAACAGTGCCCAAGCTCACAGCCTTCCCCACCTGCTGCTGTTGCAGTGTTCGTAACAATAATCTGTGTACATGCAGCAGTAACACTCGCATCAGTTTGTGGAGCTTGAAATGAAAAAGTCTTTAAATGCTTACATAATTTGGATTTTTGTGTATGCAAAATTAAACTAATGGCATCAGATCATTATTAGTGATCAGTGATTCAATTGTTGTCGGATTAAATATTAATTTTAACCACACAGTCCAGTGTCTGGAGGAACCTGATATAAGCAACTAAAATTATTCTTTCTTTTGCTCTGGTACTTTATGCATACCCCAGCTTCTGTCATGCCAAATAAACTAAAAATGACTGACGCCATATTGCATCCACACTTCCTGTAGTTCACAGAGTTGGTCGTGAAGTCTGATATTACATAATAGAACCTAAACCTTCCCTTGATAAATGTCCCGCATACCATTCCCATTCAGTGAGAATGTCTACACCACACACACACACAGGCTTCCCGTCTGCCTCCCACCAGTTCACATATCATCTTCTGTCGGTCCGTGATCTCTAACACGGCCCGTACCAACTCGTCTTCTGTGTCTGGGGGCTTATGACAGCTAAGGACCCCTCAGCCCCGAGTGACAGTGCCGTGTTGACAGCCGGGTCAACAGCGATCATTACCCCACCGTCTCAGTTTAGCCACACCTGTTCTACAACCCGGTGTGTGCGCCTTATTTTTAAGGGTCGCGGCTGACGACGAATAATCCATCGGGGGGCATGCGTGCACGGAGGATACTAAATTCACTGACGCCCCCGCGCACAAGCCTCCCGCTCAACTCCCCTCTTAGCTGAAGCACCATTATGGCTTTTCAGGCTGCTTCCTGTACAGATTCTTTTTTTTTTTCTGTCCTCCCTCATCTGCCCTACTTTCCTCAACACAAAAGGTGCTTCCCAGGTTCAGGGGGTGTGTAGCACTTGTAAAATGTGAATGGCTTTCAGGAGTTGCCTGGGTAGGCAGTTTGACCAAGAGAGGAGCAGAGGGAAATGAAGGACAGGTTTGCGTAATGGTCCGCTCTCCCCATGCGAAGGTCACGCGGCATTGTTGGCCAGCAGAGGTCTAAAAGACAGGCCTTTGGAGGACCACAAAGCAGGGCTTTGGCAGCACTAATGAAACTCAGAGCTACACGTTAATGATCTAAAAGACTGGACCAAAACACTCAGCGGCCCCCTTTCCGCTTGCATTCAGCCTCCTCTTGATCGCTCCTTCCAAATAATGACAAGGCACTCTCCTTCTCTACCTTTATTGTAACCTTTGATGTTGCCTTGTTTTCTTTGTGTCTGTGTCCCCCCTCCCTCCTTTTCATTCTTTTATGTTACCTGACTGTCACTCATCTATTAAGGCAACAAATGGAACAAGGAAAACATTCAGAGAGTGTATTGTGGTGCACCCACAGGTTTGCTCTTTATTTCTTTTGAAAGCACTTGAACTTGGAATTTTCCTTGGGCCGCCTATTGAATGGGGAGGGTGCTTTTTTAAATTTTTATTCCAGTATTGTCATAGGATTACAAAACACAGTTGTATTGTAATGCACATTTCCAAACCCCTATAGTTTGGTTTTTCATTTGTTACTGTTTATTTGTAATTGTGTCTTTTCTCATTGTATTAATAGGTGCCCTTACTCGCAGCACTCAAAAGAATGGTGGTGTTACTGGCATGCAGATAGTTTCGATTTCTTTTGTTTGATTATTTCAGTGTTTTCAGGTAAACTTTGGTTGCAGGGTAGGCTTAAATCTGACCGGTGAGTTTGTCAAAGGTGGGCAAATAAAGCCAAAAGGGAAGAAAGAAAAGATTCATGTTTTGCTTCTGGTGATTAAATGAAACAATGTAACATTTGGGTTTAAATGTTTAGAAACTCTTCTCACCATCCTTTCACAATCGCTAAAGCATCTTACTCGAATGGGACTCATTGTTCTTCACCTTAGAAGATGTAGTTGATATAATTGTTAAAAGGGGAAGAACAATAAATATGTTAGTAACCCAATAAAAACCCTGCTTTTTGACTTAGATATAAAATTGCTCTGCTAATAAGATGAGACTAATTGCATGTTAAGTGAAACTCAGTGAACTAGCTGCTGCTCTCCCTGAAGTAGCTGGTTAAGGTCATTAGACCTTGAAGAAGCCCTTTGACATGGCCTGATTATGTTTGGCTGCAGCTACACGGTGTGTGTGAGATGAGATGTGTTTCTCTGGATCGTCTGTCTGCGTGGGTGTGTTTGCGTGTGCATGTGCGTTAGGCCTGTTGATTGGCCTTGATTAACAGACTGCCAGGCACTAGAAGCAGAGCCTTTGTAATGTACCATCTTGAGCTAGTTATTTCCAATCATTCCACAGGAGGCCTTGAACTCTGAGTTGTGTGTTTCTGCGTGTGTTACGGGCTGGGAGAGGAAGATGGTGGGTCCAAAAAAAAAAAAAATCGTACTGTTCAGTCTGAAGAGAGAAGGGTGATGTCTTCTCGTGGCCTAGTGTGCAATTTGATGTGAACGTCACATGACATTTTAAATTTAATTCCAAGTGAGCAATATTGAGAATTAGCATCTGTAAAGAGTGCTGAACTGAAAAAGCAACCGCTGAGCATAGAAAAGATGAATAATGCATGAAAAGTTGTTGATTCCAACTGCTACCATTACCTGCAGTGACTCATGTTCCACTTCAGATCCATGAATAGGAGATTTGGTTGGCCTTGCAGTTAAGGGAACACGCACGTCTGTTCGCTGCAAACACGTTTAGTAATCCCGCATTTTCCTGTGTGTTTTCCAGCCAAACTGAGCAGCCAGGATTCGTACAACAATTTCACCAATAACAACATGGGGAACCCGCGGCTCATCCCATTGCCCAGCCTCACTGTGGTGCTGCCTTTGGCTCAGATCAAACAGCCCATGACCCTGGGCACCATCACCAAGCGCACAGGGTTGGTATCTCTCCTTCTCTCTCACACACACACAAATACACCTCCTCCACAGGAACTGTAATTTATGAAGCACATGTGTTCAGCTACAAAATAAAATGATCTTATTACCTCATTACACAGAATACATAACTTTGTGCACTAGTGCTTTGGCCAGTCACTTTACTTTATCCTCTTTATTGCCATAAACAGCAGTCTAATAAATTTCTTATTAAAAACTGTAATTTTTTAGCACGTGGATCTGTACACGATGGCCATCTTTCCCCTTCAGATGAAACGTTTATTCATGGCACGTATGTAATAATTAGAGAACTAGTCCAGCTCCAGTGTTCGTCAGAGTGCGCAAGCAAAGCCTTTGAAACACTGTGCAGAGTGTAAGAGGATTATTGGCGGCTTCGCAACCTGTGCTGAATTTACAGTTTGGCCATAGAGGAGGAATTGAAATCATACTGTTGTTACATTTTCACATTCAGTCTGTGAGTTTCCGTCTCTTCCCAGTAATCACTTTATAAAAACAGCGTGTTGTGTCAGCAGTGGCTCTGCATAGGCCAGCGCCTTTCCTCTCTCATCTCGAGCCGACGCTCATGGACTTCTTTTGTCTCAGGCCGCCGTGTTTTTTGCATAGGGTAATGAAGCACAACACACACATGCGATCTCAGTCTGCGGGCTCTTTTGGTAGGCACAAATACGTTCTCCGATAAAAGAAAATAAGTTCAATCCTGCCAATGATTTCAAATAACACTCATGTTAGAGTGTAGCCTTGCTAGCTTTGTACGTTTGAAGGCGTTTAAATTGTGAAAGCACATCTGCTCTCATGCACCTCTGACTTTTATTTCCATCTGGATCTTTGCCATACATTGAAATTATGTAGTTTTAAGACCATCAACAACTAAAGGCCTTTGCTAAGTGCATTTACATACAGTACAGGTGGCTCCACAAATATGGGAAGATTTTAATATTTTCATTTAAATGTAATTTTCATGCCCTGTTTGAATGGGAAATGCTATAATGATTCAAACAGACGCCAAGGGATTTATTCTCCCGTGATATTTGATAAGTGAGCTTTGGGGATGAAAATCGGGACCCAACCCTGCGGTCAACATAAACAACATCAGGCTTTTTTTCCCAAATCATTAGGAAGACCTGCAAAGTTCATTTGTTTTGTAAAGATGATCATTGCACATGCGCTGCGGTGGTGTCCCGTGCCAGAATGATTATGAAGATGTCCTTGTCCTGGTGGTTTGCATTCTGGTTTTACAGTTGTGATATTTAATGTTGTATAAAGATGGGCGTCTGTTGCATCCATAATCTTCTTGACCATTATTGTGTTTGTTAGTTTATTCAGTGTAAAACTCCAATCTTTAGCACAAAAAACTCTCACTAAATTACTGAGAATTGCAAAACATCAAAGTCTGTTCAGGTGAATACATTTTTCTTTTTTAAAGATGTAAATTGTGGGCGCTGGTTTAGCTCCATGGGTGAGCACAGGCGCCCAGCAGGTCGAGTCCGACCCGCGGCCCTTTGCTGCACGCCTCTCCCTCCCCACTCTCCTGTCTGTCTTCACTGTTCCTATCCAATAAAGACTAAAAGGCCAAAAAAAACCTGTATTTTGCAAGGTTTATTGAAATACTCAAATCTTCAAAGGTGTGTAAAAGGTTCAGGAGACGGGTGGTGACAAAACATTCATTCGTCTGTGTTCCTGTGAAATGTCTAATGATTTCAGCGTCACACCTTACCGCCAGGATTCCCCTAAACTGGAGGTGGCAAGCAGAGACAGGCAGTTACACAAGTAATCTGATTACCTTTTTTCAAGTAAAGAGTAAAGTAAGGGGTTACTATTGCAAAAATCCAGTAAGCACGCTGCGCTACTAAACTGTGATTTTGTTTGTGAGCGTCTCATGACAATGACGTGCGAGCGTGCGGCGTCCGTGGCAGCGACAGACATGCGCAGATCAACAATGGATAACATGGAGTGATGGAGAGAGTACGACCGTGCAGCGTTTAAAGCGTGGAAGTAATCACATTACTGTACGCTCTGCGTGGGAAGAAAACCTCTTTCTACAGCGAAAAATTAAACTTCAAATCTGAGCAAGCAGCGAGCACGCTGCCACGGGAACGTGACAGTCACAGAGAAACCCCCGGACCCCCCACTGACATGACCACTGTGGGCCAACCTCCACCCGCCCCACTCCTACTTAATGTACAAGTTAAAAGATTAAAACTCATTAAACAAGTTTTAAAAAGAGACTTTTTCATTTGAGTCAGTTTCATATGATTGATTATGCAGAAGAAAAAGAATTGGGCTGAAAGGTCTGTTGCTTTATTACGTACTCAGGTTGTGTATCATGTTTTTAAAAATTAATAAAGTAACTAATTACTTTTGAAAATGAGTAATCAGTAAGGTAATGGGATTACTTTCTTGGAGAACTAATCAGTAATTAGTAACTAATTACTATTTTCAAGTAACTTGACCAACACTGGTGGCAAGTTTGTAAAAAACATCAAATGATATGTTTATTTCCCTTGTTTTCATTCTTACCACAATAAGAAGATTTCATTTTAAACACAGGTATTGTGTTTGTGTGTATATTCTTCACCTCTCAATTTTTAGAAAACATAATGTAACAAAGTTAATAGTTTCATGAATCAAACTCATTCAGGTTAGTTTATGTTGTGGTTGTCCGTGACAGCTAGTGTTAACAACCCTTCTTCAGCTTAAGTGTTGATAATCTTCTTCCAGCTGCATATTGAAATATTTCTGCTCGCTCACTTTGGAGCTAGCAGGGTTAATACAGCTGCTAATGTACAGATAACGGACGAAACGGCTCATACAGCAGCGTGCACGCTTTGGTGTCATTACTAACTACAGAGGATATAGGTGCTCATATCCTTATTGTGTTTGTGTAAAACTGTGCAAATGTTTGCACGTGCTGTCCACGGCTGTGCAACATTCCAACAGCTGTATCGGCTCTGAGGACACTATCACAGTCTGGTAGACTGCCTCGGCGCGCCTTCATCCATCCATTCAAGTCCAGAGGAGGTGTCAGTATTAATGTATCAGGGCGCACAGATGTGCTCCCTGCTCCTGCACGCGCACGGCTTGCACCCCACACCAACACACACACACACACACACTGAGTGAGGCAGCAGGTTTGACCCCCTAGAGTGGGGAGTGATATCATATGCTTTTACGCTATACTTGCACAGTAGTGCCCAGGCACCATCTGTCTGTGCAGCCAGCCCCTCTCTCTTTGTTAAGTGTGTGTGTATGTGACAGAAAGAGAGGGAGAGAGGAGAGTCCAGCAGCTGTATTTACACCTGTATGAGCAGATCTCTGTTGGCAGTGTGGCAAAGGAACACACCAGCTGCTTAACCTATATTCCCTACCAAGCTGCCTTTGTGTGCACCCTGCAATAAGACACAAGTGCACACACACTAATGAAGCTTTCTCTCCCCTTTTCTGTGACCTGGCTGACTGCATAGATACCTTTGTACGTGCTGCACTCCTGCAGACCACCGGTGTGCAAAATTGTGCTGCTGTTTGTCTTCAGAAGCCTCAGGTTTTTGACATCAAAGAAAACCTCAGCGAATTCACACAGAGCCCCCGCCTCTCTTAATTTAGATGCTCCCCCAACTCCGTCAAAATAGGGAGAGTCGGATGTGGCTAGGCATCTGCCTGATAACCTCGCTCCAGATGAGGCCAGGGCAGAGAGTGGAGGAACATAGCCAACCTTCTGCTACTCCTCAGAGTCTCTTGGGAATACCGAACAAAGAGAGGTGTGTCACCTCTGCCCCAACCTCTTGTTTCCTGTCAGCCTAATATGGAAGCGTGTTAGACCCAGTTGAATTAAATCCCAAAGACGGTGATCACAAAATCCAAAGACTCTTTCCTGTCACAACTTCATCTTTGAACAGGATTAAGACAGAAATATTCGCAGTCAGCTGTACTTGTGCAGATTGATTTAACTTGTCAAAATGCCTGTCGCGGTCACATTAGGGATTTGCAAACGGATGAAGAATTGCACACTTATCCCATCTACACACTGTCTGACTTTAACACGGACAAATGAAAATCCAAATGGAAAGATTGTCACACGCAAAACAAAATACCACCCTTTGAGCAAATCCCGCTGATGACATTTTCAGGCGAATAGAGTGCAGGCAGGGTAACGAAAAAGACAACAGCAAAAGAACAAATGAGACCCTGTGACCCGCTGCAGATGTGCCCTCAGATTACTGTAATGCGTGTGTGAGCCATCCCGATACCAGAGCCGCAGAGGCTCACTGAGACCGGAGCTAGAAAAGGGGCTTTGAGAACGCACCACATGGCGGCAAGGCTAAACCATTTGCACAAATCACCTCACTTCCCTCTCTTTTTAATGGCCCAGGCGGAGCTGCTATTAGGGCCAACGGGTTAAGAGATGAATGTGTGAACGATTATTCTCCAGGAGTGGGGTCGTCACCCTCACAGGTCGATCCCACCCCCCCTCTTTCTCTGACTTCTCTCTGTAGCAATGACCCATGTTTGACTTGTTTCTCATCACGCCTGTGACCTATAAGGGACTCTTTCTCTGCTCACCACACCCGCTCCGTCGTGCTTTGCATCACATACTGTAATCGGGTGCTCTTTGTCTATACTGAGGTCAAAACTGTTTACTGCCAGCTCAGCACGGTTGACAGTTCTCCCAGCGTGACCTCATGCTTTTGTTGTATTCCGAGGAGTGTGCAATTTGATTTGTAACACCAAAGGATAGGTTTGGGATTTTTAAAGTCTGGTGTAAAACAACGCTGATGCACACGTTTGGGAAAATAGCTCTTTGTGTAAGTCTGGTGACACTGTAGTTCATTTCTTCAAAAGTTCAAGTCTGTGTTCTTGAAAAGTTTTCTGTGTTTGCCTGTATGAACTGTGGTTCCCTGCTGAGCTGTGGATATGGAGACATTGAGGACATATCTTGTTTGAATGTTTAATTACTATGAATACCAGTTACTCATGACAGAAGAACTTTAACCGGTTCCACCTGATCTGCTTTCTGTAGCCTTCTTGCAGCTTTCTTTGCATCAACTCTGCTGCTATTAATTTCCATCGAGTATATAAATTGCACCAGCATGTTCCAGGAAGACTGTAGGGACAAAGTGGCACATTGTAAATCCTAAAGCTTACTTGGCCTTTGCTATGCCTATGGAGAGCTGACCCCATCTGCCCTTCTTTCTACAATTGGTGTCCATCCATTTACCAGTTGGAGGCCAGAGTTTGGGCTCAGAAAGTTCAACAGACTCAGCGGAGGGTAAGACGTTAGAGATCACCCCCCGCCCTCCGTGCAGCTCTTTGATAAGCGGCAGTTTACCAGGGGCCTCCATTACACCAACCAGTGTGTTCATTTGTCAACTCGCACTCCAGGAGTAAGACATTCCAGGGCAAATTGTTGCTCCCTTTCTCCCGGCGGAACACGCTACACATTCATGTACCAAGACTAATTGGAGACTGCGAGCTATCACTGGGAGGGCCCGGGAGGATGCAGCGAAAGCGATAAAATAAAGAAGTACTACGGAGTGCTTTCGTTGGTTGGAGATCCTGTTTTTCATGGCCGGGGGAGGTTGGTGTGCAGGGACAGAGTTCAGTCTCATCGGACCTTTATTGCTATAGGGAAACGGCTTATTTACTGTAAACTGTTTATGGAGCTCTGTCACTATCTCTGGACATGCAGAATAAACACAGGAACACACTCCCACTCCTAATGTCTCGTAAACATTAGAAACACGCACAGACTAACAGACAGAAATACACCCCGAAAAAGACACTACACTCTAGATGACTCTTGGATGCACACACACACACGCACAAACACACTGCATACTTGTTAACATAATCACAGTGAATACACATTTGTCAACACCGTCTCTTCCAACCAGGCATGCACATTCATAAGACAGTTCACAGCCATAAATACACACTTGCACTAAAAAAAGAAGTTGCATGCAAACACACAACTCCTTGTCTCAACAGTGCCTGAGTGCTGTTAGTTTTACTGGTGTCCCCAGTTGTTATACAAATTGGATAAACTCTTCATACTCTTTCCCAATCACAACAATCAGAGCAGTTTCCCAAAGTATTTTTCCCCGCGTTGCGTTTACACGGTTGGGTACAAGTTTGCGCACATGTACCCGATCCCTTTAAAGTTAAGAGAGAAAAAAATATGACAGATGTCGAAAGAAGAAAAAAACAGCCCAAAACGTCCGTCTGCGGACGTGATGCATGTGCCAAATATATGGTATCACGCTTTACGGAGCAGCTCGAGCAGATGAATCATCGACGTATCCCGTAGGTCTTCAAATCCATCTTAGCACACAGACATTCTGTTTCCTGCCTCGTATGTGTTGTGCACTTAAACAGACATGTCAAAAAGTATATAATGTGAAAAGTGTGTTTGCTCAAGTGTGCTAGTTTTAATAATTGTTTTTCCGTCTATTTCTGTACCCCTCAACACCCCCCAACACCCCCTTTCCCTCCCCCCTCTCATGAAGACCCTACCTCTTTGGGGCGGGATGTTTTGCCATTAAAACTCCATGGTGAGTTTTGCTTCTCCCCTCTTCGGCTCCCTTGGCAGCATGCGACTGTATAAAGCACCACAGCACACTGCCTCCTTTACCTCTCATTTGTCTCCTGGTATATTTTCAACACATTTTGTAGAGTTGGTGTGGTCGTTCCTCGGCGGGTACGAATCCCAAAGAGGAGTGTTTCTTATTTTCTCATCTTTTTGTGTCTGTGTGTTTTTGATTACCCTTATTCTTCCCTTTTTTGGTTTTGTTTTGTTTAACGTTATATTTAAAGTCCGATGATTCAGCATGTTGTGTTAAAGCCACCGCAGCGCTTTAAGGGAAAAGGGATTTTTTTCTTTCACATTGTGCAGTATGCATAAATATGCAAAGCAGCAGTGAGGTGCTAGGTATGGTGTTACATGTGAAGTAATGCTCAAAGCCCAAACTTCATACTTTAGGTTTTGCTTGGGAGTTCAGAGTACATGCTGTAGGGGTTCAGCGCTCTTCCATCAAACTTCTGATCTGGTTGTTGTCTTTTTTCTTTAAACCACCCACCAGAAAATGACATCGCTGTCTTATTGTCTTTTTCATTCTCTTACGTTAGATGATCTTTTTCCAATAATATCTTTGTGTCGAACACATGTTGTTCAGATTTTATTTTATCCCACTTTGGCTAGATTTTTTCCATCAGATGTGTGTTTGCATGCAGGAAATGTGCCACATTCTGATATTGTGAACAGTGTCCTGTCTGGTTATGGAAATGTGATGTGTACCGCTCCTACAAAATATTCTCCAGAGAGCGGATGAACCACAATTATTTAATGGTAGCTAGCACTGGAAATGAAGTTTGTTTTAAATTTTTAAACCGAGTTTTTTTTGTTTCCAGTGTATTTTAGCACATCTCATAACTTTACTTTTACTGTTCCAGCCACAGTAGGCCGCCTTTTGACTCCACATGAAATAAAAGCAGCCACACAGCCAAACACAGTGGAACAGTTAGCAGCGAAAGCGCTACATTTTTGGGGGCCGATGGTCAGATTTGATGATTTTGTTTCCTGGCAGCTGAAAATGAATGTTAAAACATTCCATGTCCTCTTTTGTTGTTAGCCAACTGTTTGCTAAAGTAACAGATTTAGTGACTCTGGAGTTATTACGTAATCAGTAATTCTGGTTTAAACAATGGAACATAAGCTCAACATCATTACTTTTACTGAGTACTTATGCTCATTCAATTCATTATTAAATTACCTGCTAATCTTAGAGAAATAAGCTAGCCTATTTCATACCGTTAAACTGTCCACCACCTTTCTCTTTTTTTCTTGTGATTTGAATAAGTCTGGTTCTGTGGTCATTCATGGATGTTTTCAGAAAAATAGCCACCCCAAGCCAAGTTTTGGAGACACAATTTAAAATGGGATGACAGCTTACTTCACCAAAGATGGAAACATGCAAAAACATGCAAAGCCCCTCAGATTGTGAGAAGAATTTCTAAGATAGATGTGGACCCCCGTGTGGTTTCAAAGTGACATACAGATCTAATAACATTAAATACTGCGCATCCCTTGACCTTGAAATCACCGGTTATGTTGCGACTAAAAATGCTGTAGGTAAGACAGATGAATCCATCACTAGTCAGTTATTGGGGCAAATAATAAAAAGCAGCGAGGTGGAACAAAAAGGCCAGTTTCATTTGATTTTCAGGTTAAGATTCAGGAAATGTTTAACTGTCACTCCTGAATTTTGAGTTCAATTTTAGCACTAAAATGCACAAAGCATCCTCTGATTCAAAGATTTTTGTCATGCAGGGGGATGTAGCCACGTCTCTTGTCAGCGCTCTCTCATGAAATCAGATGCTTACAAGCTTTTAAAAGAAGCCCTTTTATGACAGTCGCTTACAGAGAGATGATTGAGTGGCTCGGTGAAAGGAACTTTTCCTTTCCTGATTCCCAGGTCTCCTGCTCCTCGTGTGAATAGTGTATGGTGCCTTCCTCAAGTGTTGGGTTTCATCTTTTGTTGTGGGCAGTCACTCATACTTTTTAATTGAAACTTTTTTCCGTCTGTCTTCAGCCACTCGTGCTCAATCTAGGCCCTTAGTGACTTCAGAGCGTATACTTTTCAAAGGTATACATCATTAGCATTGGAATCTTGACCCTTGCAATAAATGCCATCTGCTCAATTTTGAGCTAGTTAAACCGACATTGTTTCTCTAATAGCTTCTGCCTTTAGACATGCGCCATGGCAGTCCATTCACTATTGTATCGTATTAAGATATTTTACAAACAGAGCCGTCTTTTCTTTTTGAGCAAATGGTGAACTTGAATGCTCCTTGGATTTCCAATTCATTCTTAAGCTTGCGTCTGAAATAACACTGTGGCCAGATACATTAGTTTATACCAACATTATGGCTGTTTAAGAAATTTCCATGACTAACGTGGCACTACATGAACTTTAAGGTTTAGAAATTGGTAAAAAAGAAACCCTGATTTTTTCCTTGAACATTTGATGCCCACTCTGCTCCGTTCACCGAGTTTCCCAGTTTTTGTCATTAGTGCTGTGTATTCGACAGAGCCTCAAGGCTGCTTCTTTCCGAGGGCTGTTGTAAAATAATAAATGTGACGTTGAAGGATGTACCCTCCACATAACTGCCCTCTCTCCTTCCCTCTCTCCGTCTTTCTTTTCCTTCCTGCTTGGAGTCTTAATACCACCTCCTTTTCTGATAAGAATGAACCATATGGCCCAGAATCAGTGAAATGACAGCACTGCAGCTCTTTGTCACCGGATGGTCAGCTCCATCATGTTTGTTTACTGCAAAGGTCCTGAAAATAAATGGAAGCTGCTGTGGACTACCCCCCCACCCCCCCGCTGAGGCGCCTCATGTTAGCGCCGGACATAGTAATGCAAAAGGACTTTGATGGTTGATGTCTCAGATTGAATTATGCCCTTGAGGAAAAGCTATTAGCTCAGTCAAGAGTCCTCATTTGCTAAATTAAAAGTGGAAATGACATGTGAGTAGTCTTTTCAGTGAATTAAAGTCACAAAGAAAATGAATTCCACTCCTTGCTAAAAGGCAAAAGGAAATTTTGCGGAGAGAGAAGAAAAAGAAAAGAGATTTGCCGTTTGTTTAATGACATACATCTTCTCCTGCTCCCAGTTCCCTCTTAGTATATTTATGTTTCATAAGTTATTGATATTGGGTTACGCTTTTTCTAACTCGGTGCCATTTGCTTGCCTGCTTCCTTACCAAAAGTCTGCTCCAGAAATTGGTATCCATATGGGAAGTGGAATTAGGCCCTGGAGTTGTGCCTGGTTGTCACGAGGGCAAAAACCTCAACACTTTTAAGCCACTTCAAGTGAGATGAAGAGGAAAAAGGATGATTTAAAACACAGATGAATAAACTTTAGTGGTCACTGTAGCAGAAGAGACGAGAACTGAACTGTGATCTTTGGTCCTGTTGGCAGGCTCTGTGCTAGCTGTGGTCTCTTCAAAAAGGCCTAAACTCAGCTCATCTGCTATGACTGCAACGTCGAGCCGAAGTTTTAACGTGCTATCGACGAGTCGCGCGGCGCCCTGCAGATTGGTGTGTGGGGTTGCCACGAGGTCAGTCCTTCAGAAATGGACAGTGTTCTCTACTCGGCAGTGCAAAAGTCCTTCTACTTGGTTCTCTTAAAGAAAGTCCATCTGATTATAGTAGTAGTAATAGCTTAGAATTTTAACCACTGACACCAAAAGTCAATACGAAGACTGATGAGTTTAGAACAGGCACCTGTCTGCTCGTGACGAGGATTTGTTTTTCCCGAGTTACAGGGCTTTCGTTTCGTTACCAAGGAAGAATTTTTACTTGTGGAAAAATCCTACAAAACTCCCCTTTTCCTGTCCCATGTAACACAAACAAAAACTGATGTTGAGCACTTCCTTATAGCTGGTTATTCACTCGCTGGACCTGCTTGTTAAGAGTTTTACCTTCTGGTTGAACTGACGGTCAAGCAGGCCAGAGCTGGGAGGAGAAGACGAGGCCCACTTGGAGTTAGCCAAGGCAATATCCTGAGTGTGACTTTATCTACCCCTGCATCTTCCTTTCACAGACCGGGTTTACTGTGGATATTTGGTTATTCAGCCTTCTCCCTTTGACCCAGCGCTTGTAAATACAAGCTACAACACTGTAGAGGCCGTCCTTATGATTACCTTCACCATTTCCTTTTTCCTGATCCCTCTTTCACACAGGGCTGGCCAAACAAAGACATCTCCCTCGATCCAGGGAATAATTTATGAGGTGCTGACAGGGGGGAGGCAACAGAAAGAGAGTTTTACCAGCAGCAGGTCTTTCAACAGCTAGTACTGTGAAACCCGGTTGAAGTAGTGGACGCACCGTCTAGTACTGGAAGCATTATTGTGGTGAACTGTCTTCATGGCATTGCATTGTATTTTTCATTACGTTTTTGTGGTATTGGGCAAGTTTGAAACAAGAGGAGGGATTTGGTCAGTGATAGAGTGTTACATGTTACATATGCACACACAGGACGTGAGGGGCAAATTCCCACTGGATCCTCCATGTGTTACATTCTTTGTAAGCTGTTGGTAACGCTACACTTGTTTAAGTCTTTCTGACATTCATTAGGTTTTACAGTGTGTGGTTGGGCGTCCATATTCAGGGAAACTCTTAAACCTGCAGTATTTATTTTCTTGTGTTTGGAATTTTGAGTTTTCATTCCGTTTAAATGAACGATTTAAAAGTGCAAAATTAAGACATTATTTGGTATCGTTATATCCCCTGTTGCCTTTTGTTCTATTCTTTAATAAATATGTATTAATCTTTTAAAACTATTATGTAGACATTAGGTTGAGGTTAGTTTCTTTAAATGAGTTTGACCCGTTATGCACACGCTGGACACGAGTGTGATGACAGCAGAACTTTTATTTATAACTGTGGTTTTCGTTTTGCACTGGGACACAGACACTCTCTGTTGTCACGTCTGCTCTCCTTCCCCTCCGACTGTCACTGTCAACATATAAAGAGTCACAATCACCTTCAGATCCCAGCACACCTGTTCACCCCGCCCCTGCGCCGCCCCGGGAGCTCACTGCGTCAGAGACCACACCCACGCCACAATGAGTCAGAAATGAACTTATTAACAAAAATCAATATTGAGATTGTGTGCAAAAGCATGCAAACATTCAGCATTAGAGATGGAACCTAGCCAGTTTGCTTTTTGCCCTTACCTCGCACATTTGAGTTGTTAAAAGCTAATGGCGACTCGAACCTAGCAAGCATGCTACACAATCATGCAATTTTAAAAACAAAAGTGGATTTTAAATACTCATTACCTGCAGGGGGCACCGTTGTCAGCCTTGCGGAGACTCCTGCTTGCTCTTAGATGTCACACTCTGGCTGGACACATCTTGAAAGGCCTGGTCTCAATCAGGTGCTTTGCATCAGTGGCATTAGGTTTCCCTGTTGTTAATCAAATTTTGTACTTGGAAATGTCTATCTTTTTTTAAATCATCCATAAGGTCTGTTTTTGCTTATGCTAACTATCCATTCCTTTTTATATTTGTTCCACATAAAGCAAAAAAATAAAAAGCACCTGCACAAAAATGCTTCCATGAGTTGAATGTAAGTTGAATCAAACTGGCCACATACATTTTAAAAATCATGACCATTCTGCGCCCACATATTTGCATCTTTTCTTCAAAATTGAGAGTAGATAGAAGTAAGAGTGTCACTTTCATGCCAGCGTGGTTTCCAAAGGTCAAGGTTAAGCACTCGTCTGGGAGCGCGTGACACCGCTGTAGGTTTTCAAGCGCACCTCACGTCTGATCCGCTGTGACCACATTTTACTGTCCAGGTTGCTTATGAGGCTGGACAATAATACCAGATCTTGCTACTGTTCTCTGATTGTTGCCATATGGGGAGTCCAATTGCGGCTGAAAACCCTTTCTGTGTCCGCTTCTTCTCAAACACTCTTGACATGCTGAATAATCCAATAACTCCCAATATATTCTCTCCTGTAGCCGACACAAAGTAAGAGAGCCAGGGAAGGCAACGTGGACACTGCTGTTAGGTTCAAATTCCATTCAGTGATAGCAGTTGTATTTATTAATTTAAATATAAATGTGGTATATTAATGGGACTATTGGAACCAACCAGATGGAAGAGCAGGCTAGAAATTGTCTTTGTAAGTATACTAGAAGTATCAACGTTTTTTGATTCTTACCAAACTTAAAGTAAAATTGGTGACAAACCCCTGAAAAAGGTTTTTGCTGGGATCTGTATTGTCCTGTAAAAGAACAACTAGAGTCCACCATCCAGTGTATGTAACCCCCTTTAGCAACATTACCTTGGAGTACTTGTTTTCTCCATGACTGTACCCGTTTCTCACATCGTAGCTGAGGTATTTTGGCCCATCCTTTCCAATGTTGTTTCAGTTCATTGAGGTTTGCAGGTATTTGTTTATGCATAGCTCTCTTAAGGTCCCACCACAGCATTTCGGTTGGGTTGAGGTTTGGACTTTGCATTTTAGCATCCTTGATTCTTCTCTTTTTCAGCCATCCTGTTGTAGACTAGACGGTGTGCTTGGATCACTGTGTTTGACTCGATTTAGGCCGAGCTTTAGATATCGGACAGATGGCCTTACGTTTTTTCTCAAGAATACTCGATATATGCTGATACATGCACGCTTGGTATACAAATGAGTTTGTGGTCGAATGAATGAGAACAAATTGCCCAGGTCCTGTGGTTGTTTAAAGAGAAAAAAGAGGTGGTTTTGTATTAAGATAAGGCAAGTGTACAGGCAGTATACCAATCATGTCAATGTTGTGAATGGAGAAGATTGCATTTAGCCATATAAGGTCTAAATGTATCCTAAGAATAACTTCTAGTATTACTATTAGTACTTTGTAGTACTACTACTTACCGTCCTTCTCAGACAAGAAGATTCTCTTAGATGGTGGCTCAGTTTTATATCACATTACATCAATGTTTATGTCTAGCTTAATTTCCCATTTTCTGCTGCAACAGTGGATGTTTTTATTTGCAGGCGTTTCAGTTTCCCCTTGCTTAGTTCCTTGCATGCAAAGCTCTTTACAATATTGTGTTAATTGTTCACAGATGTTGCTGTGCAATCCATGTCTAATGTAAAATGCTGACATTTACATTTGATTGTTATGCTTTATGGAAAAACAATTCATACAAAGATTGGTCTTAAAGGTGATACATAGCTTCAATAAGCACCACACTGAGACACATTATTGCACTGTTGACCTTATTGCAGCACAAGACAAAAAGTGTGCTACTCCTCCACACAGCGACATTTCTAGCAATGGAAAGTGATGTGTAGTTGATGTATTTACTAAAGAGGGGTAAGGATTTATTGGAATTCACAAATTAATAACTGACAAATCAGAGTAAGCAGTTGTCTCATTGTGCCAATACCAGCCAGTCAAAAGGACTTGACATGTTAAACTATAGAAGCACTACCGGGTTCACTTTTTGGACCCCTGCATTGTACTATATTATTTACTTTGTCTCAATTTCTTTTCCGTCTCCTGAAGCAAGTCTAAGCCACCCCCCCAGATCTCACCGAGCAAGTCCAGCGGAGGAGAGTTCTGCGTGGCGGCCATCTTCGCGTCACCTCGCTCCTGGTTCATCACTAATCCCAACATAAAAAGAGAGAAAGGTAGACTGTGGTGACAGGTTGTCTTTGCATTCTTTGCATACAGTTGATAGCTATTATTGCACTTATTGCAAATAACTTGTCCTCGCCTTGTTGCTCATCCTCCTCACAGATCAGTCCAGGCAGTCGGTTGTGGACTCGCTGTACGTAGTCAGTTGCTATGGTAACTTGGTGGAGCACGTCTTGGAACCTCGGCCATTAAGCACGTCACAAAAGATAAGCGACGATACACCGTTAGAACTCAACACCTGTCCAAGGGCCTGCTGGATTCTAGCCAGGTAAAGCTGTGATGAAGACTCGATGCAGGACACGGCTTCTCTGTGTCTCTAAGTCTTATGCATGATTTGTCCTTTTTGAGCAGGACTCCACAGTGGAATGAGCTGCAGCCACCTTTCAACTCCAATCATCCTTTGGTGTTGGCCTCAGATCTAGTGCAGTACTATCAATATCTCCTGGCTGGTAAGTGTTAAACAAGTACTTTTCCTTGAGTTTACACACTGTAGTGTATTTACAGTATAAAGTTGTGTTCAAATAGAATGGAAGTCTGCATTTTCAGGAAGTAAAAAAGGTCAAGGTGTTGTACCAACACATGCTCTAAATGTAAGGTTAGCATGGTAAATAAGAGACTGGTATCACAGGGCTAAGAGCACTGAGTAAAACGATCATTTAAATGTGCTTCTACATTTCCTTGTAGTCCTTTCAGAATAAAAGTAAAGTATAGTTGAATTGTTGGGGATACCACAAAGAGAGTGCAACAGAAAGTAGCATACATTGGTACACAAATATCACATGCAGTCACTGAAAATGCAGAAGTTTTCATCAGTGTTGTACTAGGGCTGGGCGATATATCGAGTTTTTTGAAAATATCGATATATTTTCATACGAGATATAAGATGTGACAATATCGTTTATATCGATATAGTCTATGTTACGGTATAATTATACTTGTGGAGCCGCAAGTTTGCCTCTCTTTCGTCCACTTTTGTCTCTACGCTGCGTTACTCGGCCTCGCCTCTCCTTCACTGAACACAACTCCCCCATAGCTTCACCTGCAGGCAACGACAAGATGAACACGGCAAATCCCCGTTAACGAGTTACCGCGGATCGCCCCGTGCGTGGGGCTGGACGGCGTTGTGTTAGCGAGCTAACCGCGCTAACGAGCTAACCGCGCTAACGACATGCAGACCACAGGAGCTGCATGACCTAAAATCCTTTTATTTTCTCAAAAATCGACAGTGCGCCTTATGTATGAATTCTGGTTGTGCTTACTGACCGCGAACCGATTTTATGTGGTACACGGCGCTCAGCAATCTGTCAAAAAATGTTTTAGTTCGACTTTGGTAAGCTACGGAGCTGCGGCGCTTGATGGATTGTCGGAGCATTACGGCTACCGTAGTCCGGAGCCTCGCGGAGTGATACGTGCTGTGCTTCAACTTAATATTATCATATTGCTTAAAAAAAAAAAATCGAGATATATATCGTATATCACCATCCAGCTAAAAAATATCGAGATATCAATTTTGGGTCATATCGCCCAGCCCTATATTGTACTGCTCGCAATTATGTTGATGTCTGATATATTTTTCTACGTCTGATCAACATTACAAGCAAAAACCAACTTTTCTTTAGTGAAAAATGTTCTTTTCATAATAAAATAATTTTTAAAACTCCTTAAAAGAGTCACTAATAAATACCTAAAAATGAGTTGCTGTACGCTCATATCCTTTATCATATTCTACCTTACCAAACAAAGTAACAGATTGATATAAATGACAAAAATCAGGCAATAAAATAATTTTCCAGTACAGTTATACCGTCGTGAGATATCAGGACATTGAGCCTTTTCTCCATCATTTTCCTCTGAACTGCTTCGATCCTTCATGTTGGCCCTGAGTCCTGGATAACTGCAGCTTTAGTCACTTTTAGCTTCTTTAAAATGTCAGTGTTCACCCGGGTGGAGTGTCTCATCAGGTTTGTTGTTATGAACATGTGTCGTGGTGCTTCCCCAACACTTCACTTTGATGAGCTTTGTTTGAAGAGCTCATAATCTGACACACGTCAGGCTGACCAGCCACTCACTGGTAAGGACCAAGAATGCTGGATAATAGCTGATTACTCCCGGGCTATCAGTACGTCTCTAGTTTTTATTATTATTCAAATTAAGCAATCAAAATGATTTGAGAGATCCTAACTCAGATCAGCCTTAACCCTAACTGTCAGACAGACAGCTTTTTGCAAATATGAATCCACATACACATGCGCACACATATCGTGCACACACACATATATAAATATGAAGAAACGAACAGTTCCCCAGTGGTTTTTCATGTTGACTATGTTGAAAGCAGACCATCAGCCCCTTATTGGAACCACATGCCGAGAAAGGATCTTTCTGGTCATCACCCACAATATTTTATTATTCAGATACCGGAGGGAAAGAGCTCTCTGCCATTTCCACCATTTCATGTCCTCTGAGCACTGTCGCAAATCCTTGTAGTTTTTCTCTTCTGTGAGGAACCTTGAATTTGTCCTTCGGCAGCCACACTACACGTGTGCTTGAGGACATGCCAACGCAATGCTATAAGATGCCGCGCGCAGACCAATTAGCTGACACCCTAAACTCCCTCTAATTCAATAACAAGTGCAGAGCGGTGAGCACTTTAGGGTGCCATCTGAAAGGCCATTTTGCAAAAGCGCAGAGTGCACATGGATGGCCACACACGGAATCAATCCACCCCCGTGGAACAGGCTGGCGTTTTGAGCTCACTCCATAATTATAAACATACAAAATCTATGATTAGCTCTTGCGGGTGCTCGGGGGCAAGTGGTAGCTATGTTTACCCTAATCTCTCTGCTCGTCTCTGTTGGCTTCTGCAGTGCTTCAGGTCTAACTGGTAGGATATTTTCTCAAATTAGTGCTAATGGTCTCTCCTAGTGTCAGAGCAATGAGAGCGCGTCGGAGTGATGGGCTCGGGCGTCAGTTTATTCCACCACTCTCTGCCAGCATGGGCAGCGGAACTGGCTGCATAATGAGAGAGATTCATTGCATTAACATTTACATCCAATTAACAATAGCCAGATAACACAGTTGTGGCTCTTTATTCCTATAACCAACCAAGTGTGAAGTCATGCGAGGTCAAGACACTATAAACATAATTGTTCAGCACTCTGCCCACGTCTTGTGCTCTTGCCATGTTCCCTCTGGTTAGCGTCGTATACACCACCACCACCGACTGAGCTGCTCTCGGAGTGCCATCTTCCATTTCTGCGCTTTGCACCCGGGCAGCGACTCTCAACGTCCTATTTCTCAGCATGCGCTCCTTTTGCCAGCCCGTCTCCTTTGCCGTTTCCTCCAGGGCTTGGCAGCACGGCAAAGAAGTGATCCAGGAGAAGGGCTCGATTTGACCTCGGGATGAATTGCAGCACGGCCGTAAGCTGCCGGTCCAGCCTCTTGCTGAGCATAAATATCGAGACATAGGAAACTGAAAACGCACATGGCTCTTGTGTTATATAGGTGTACTTTACATTGCTGATAACATGCATCACGAGGGAGAAAATAGCTGACTGAGAAACAGGGGCAGTAAAAGATCTAAAGAAAGGGAGGGCAAGACGTCTCCATAAATGTCCCTTTTAGCTAATTGTCCTACAGACAGACCATGTTTCTAGAAAGGTGGTGCAAGGAAAAAAGGTGGCAGCACTTGACTGACAGGCCATGGTCTCCAGTCTCGTGGCTCTGTATTGGATGACCCAGCCTGATTAAAAATGCAATATACAGGGAAAGGAATAGAAAGGGGAGAGGAAGGGCCAGGGTCAGGCCAGACCGGAGCCTCCAGGACGGGATGATAAAAGGCAGCGGTGGCGCCACTTCATGGTCACTATCTCTACCTGTCCATCTATAGCAGCTACTGGCAGCACTCAGCCAAGTAGAAGATATAACAACGCACAGCACTGCTCACAGAGATAAGGCAGAGAGAGAGGCACAGTATACTCACAACAGATGAGATTCTGTAGCACGATCTGGCTTAATAAAAGCAGACTTGTTGTTGGTGTTTGGGGAATCCTCTCGCAGCGAAGTGGAAACATAGAATCTCTGTTTCCCAAAAAGTGCTCATTTGGGTGAGTGTGTGAATAGGCCCTTTTTCCTTTGCTTTTGGTCTAAGGTGTCGGAGAGGGGTAACAGAATAACTGAAGGAAGGAATGCGAAGTGTTTGCAGCCTCATTAACTACATCCAGTTTTTGTATTTTTTTGTGGCGTTAGCGGGAGGCTGATATTTATCTAGCTGCGCACAAAATGTTTTCCAACACCTTCCTCCCTCACCGCAAAGCTGCTCTGGTGCAAACAAACCGGTGAATAATTTACCACCTAGATTTCTGGCTGGCTCCTTTGAGCCTGGTGACAGAAATTGAGGCTATGCTTTTTGGCCACGCCCTCCCCTCCCTACCTGTCATATAATGTGCTAATTGTGGAGACTGACTGACTGGCTGGTTTGGCAGTTCTCTTGGGACTTTGAGGCCCATGACAGGCCAGCCACAGTTGCCTCGTCAATAGATCTAATTGCTTCGAGAGAGGGGCCAGAGTGAAGGCTCTGGAGCATCAGGCATTTGGTAAAGAGAAACCGTGGCGCCATGACTGGGTCAGTAATCAAAGGGAGGCAGAGAAAGGATGCAGTAAGTGTAGCGCTGGATGAATGAAGGAACTGTCAGTCAATTGCGCACTGAATGATACATAATGACTAAGCTATCCCACTCTGTCAGTATGCCAGCACCTATCTGCCAGAGCAGTACTCAGAAGAGGAAAGTGAGAAGAAAGACAGGTGGAGAAGTTAGAAGAAGAAGCATAGTGAGTGAAGTGTCTGGCTACAAAAAAATTCAGGGTGGACTACAAAGGCGGGAGAAAAAAATATAAAAAGACAAAAAATCATCCACAAAAATTAGAACAGAGTAAGCGTTCGAGACAAGGTCCTGTGTCCACCGTGCGGCCAGCTTTCCAGATCTATCAGATTGTTAGCCCCTTATCTTTCCCTGGAGATCAGCCTGTCTGGCCCCTGGCCCCCAGTCCCCAGGAGGTCAGGCTACATCAATACCTAGGCAGCCTTTGTTCTTGTTCTGACTCTCTGCTTCACTGCTCTGACTAACAGGCCATTGGCTACTGGCCTTCAGCACAGCAAAGCGCCTCTCTCTTCGCAGTCAATAAAGACTGTGACACAGACAACTCTGTTCCTTGTTGGTGGTTGTGTGGTAGATGATTACGGGTGGAGTGGGAGTCCCTTTATTTGTGTATATATTAGCAAAAGCACCAAAGTAAATAAAAGAGCTGTAATTATAAATTGCAGGTGACAGTTCACCTTACTGACTCAGTCTGCTGATTAATGATCAAGGTGCTTCCTTTGGTTAACAAATATAGATGCTTCATACACTATAGTTCAATTTTAAATATATATCACTCTCCTTGGTAAAGTGAAGCTTTTGATGTTTTCTCAATCATGTGCCAGCAACTTAATTTTAATATCATACACTTTTACAATAAATATTTTTAAAAAAAATTAATATTTCACAAAGAATTAGTAGTTATAGGTTTGTTTTCTTCATCCATAAAGACGAGATTTGTTTATGAAATGTCCAGCAGACCATTAGCATAGCTAGCAGTTTGCTGTTTGTTGGGTCTAATGTGTACTTATGAGGACGTAGTCGGTACTTTCTTTTTTGTCCATCACATACAGATAAGATTATTGCAGTTTTGTAACAGGAAAGGGTTTTACAGACTTGACTTCAAAGATTGTATGGGAAGGAAAGGTTTGCTTGTTGAAGGCTCAATAAATTAAAAAAGAAAAAAGTCAAAGAATCCACACCGGGAGTCCGAGAACATATAGTACATTTTCCTAAATTTCCCACTGACCCGTCCTTTTCCATTCCTGTGATGGTTGTGGGGTGATGGCACCGTGCCACTTGCTCATTTGCTGATGTGTCTTTAAATCCATCAACAACAGAACATATTCGCTGTGGATCTAACTATACAATGAGACTCCTTTCTTGAGTGCAATGTGATACGTTTGCACTTAAAAAATTTGCTCTCTGTGAAATTGCATTGACATTCTGTCTCTTAAAAGCCACTAATGACCACTATAGAAGCAGCAGAAGGCCGAGTGGTTGGCTAGCTAGATGCTATGATGAGTAGATACTACAGTAACTGCTAGTGTCAGTCTGGCTCCTGACATACACACTAACAAACACGTGCAAAAGGGTTGTGTCTTTGCCTGACCCATGGGGATGACCACTAGCTCTCCATAATGGAGCCTGGCTGCGACACTGACCATTGAAAACCCCCACACCCACCCACTGGAAACCCGATCCAGCCAGTCCAACAACTGCTTTAGAACATCAATAATTAATTAGGGAACAGCTATTGGCCCCAAGGGTCAGAGAGCAGGGCGAGAGAGAGTGAAGGAGAACAAGAGAGTGAGGGACAGCCAAGTCGGAGAGCGAATGCACCGGGAGGAAATAGGGGAGTTGTGATTTTGTTTAATAAGTAACACAACGCAGGCTTTGTTCAGCTCTCTTCCATTAAAAGGACATGAGAAACCTTCTCTCCCTGTTTCTCCCTCTTACTGTAAGCCTTACACACTTTTCCTCTCCAGGACATCTGTAGGTCATGAAAGGGTCGCTTCTCCCAAATAAGAAGCAAAGCAACAAAAACATATTTGATGTATTCACAAGTACTCAACATGCAGGTGTTTTTTGCTTTCATTGGCTTTGCAGACCGTCATTTTACATGTTGTAGTCATTTACAATCACCAGAGGGTAGAGTGAAAAGTATGTGCAGCAGCCTGTCTGTGGGCTGCTCTTGCTTGGGCCATTTTGGGTCTTTCAACCAATGGCAGAAGACCAAAGTTATAACATACAAAGAAGTGAAATCAACTATTAAAAACAATAAAAAGTGTCATCACTGCCAAGCTATGTGCTGTTTTTTGAGTATGCATGCTTAGGTTGCATACCCAAAATTCCTCACACTGTTTAGTACATATGCATATATGCCAGGCCACTGTGATGCTATTAATCTTGTTTTATAAATACGAAGAAATGGTTACATTGTTAAAAAATGACAATGGTACTTGTCTGTATTTTTGTGGGTAACACGCAGGCGTGCATGATCCACAACATATCATATATATCACACTTTCTTCCCCTGTAAGGACCTTTAGCACATTTCAGCTCATCTCTGTTGCTTTTTATTGACTAGACACAAAACTGAGATCTGAACTCTCCTGCTACAAACACCAGCCTGAGCTTGTCTTAGCTACAGTGGGGAAGAGAAAATAGACACTGCATCCATGACGTGCAATAGTGACCTACGGCAGTTGCTTGGAGAGATGTTTTGTAATTAATAAAAATTGAGTCAAAGCTTTCCTTTAAATCACACCAGTTAATAAAATCACAGTTACATAGTTGCTTTTTAAATTATTATTATTACTCAGAAAATGTTGATTCACTGTCTAATGATTGTATCCACTTAAGTCAGTTAAATCTAATATGCTTATAGATGTAAGGACATAATTCTGTCAGTTGACAAAAGGGGAATAAATATTTCAGAGCACCAGAATAGTTCAAGCTGTCCTGGAAAAAGTAGCCTCTGTTTGTCAAATAGGAAATAAGGAGAAGCTTTTGGTATTAAAAAGTCTCATATTTCTGTTTGGCCACTTGTTAAGAGGCAAACACTCTTATTTTTTCAAGACCACAAGGAAGTCTTCAGTGTGTTGAATTTGTTATGCCACAATGTTTTTTACGACTTCCCCGGGCACTTTTACTCATTTCTCCTTTTAGTTGTACTGATATGATTTGGAGTTGCAGATGACACTCAGTCATCAGATCAGTTTGGGTTTTTGTTTCAGAACCGAGTTTAAGAAACATGTGACGGCATAGTTCTGTGTGAGTGTGTTGGGGTGAGGTGTGGGTGAGGGATGATGTGGCATTTTGCTAAACAGGCGTCAAAGACCAAACTGCCTCCATCGAGGACGTCCGAACACCTGGAGCGTGTATGGGGATATAGTTAGAAGTGCCTCCTGTGCTCCAGATGTTGACTTGACGAGTGTATTAGCCATGCTTGTGTTAAAGAAACTCCATCCCTGGGGTGGGAGACGGAGAAAGACTGATTCTGCGCATCAGGGCTCGTTCTCTCCATCCCTGCTTACTCAAGCCTTCTGGAGCGCCATCTGTCCCTGAGTCTCTCTGCAACACACAGACATTCACTGTACTCTTGCTTTTTTACTAACGCTTGCATGCACCGACATACACATGAGAACATGGGATTGAGATTTTTGATGTTGTCCCAAAACACTAGCTTTCATCCAGCGAGTCATTAACTGTAAACTTATTGTATCTTAGCTTAAACTAACGTCACTCAGCCCATGTGTATGGTATACAATGTATATGCTCATACACAAAGGCCTAATCACACATTTAGGCTGTATTAACACACTTTGGTAAACCGCTTTTAAGGTCTAATTAGTTTTACATGCTAATTTGTGTAAATTCTAACTAGTAATATGAGATTCATTGCCCTGCTTTGCCTTTCTGATATCCTTTTCCAATAGCTGTAAATGTATTTAGAGGGATGGAACTTGACTTTTACACTTAATCTTTTGGCTTGAGAACTGTGACGGTACTAGGCGTTGGCTATCGTCAGCTTTCAAGTATATCATTCTTGTGTATTCTTTTTTCCCCAGCTGTACCCCCAGGAAGCCCCGGCCCAATCACACGTCACGAGTCATCCGACAGTCTGGCATCAGACCACAGTGGCCAGGAGGATGAGGAGTGGCTCTCTCAGGTAAAGCTTCTGTTTGACATGACATGACGGTGACTTAAGAAGAAAATGTTTCATATTTTGATTTTATTTCTTCTAAATTAAAAATACAATGAACAAATACCAATTCAGAGTGCTGATAAATCAGTTAATGACTCTTCATTGCAAACATCATATTAAAGTTAGACCTGCTCCTGAACTTGATCCTGGATTACAAAAAATAAGTTTGCACTTTTTAGTGTAATCTGTGGGTCAAGTAACTGTGTGTAATTTAGAAGAAGACAGCTCACAGTGGGACTCTTGTGCCATAATATGGCATAGGCTTGTTTTTAGCTTAAGCAGGAAAGGTTTTATCTATCCACTGAACCTCCACCTGATGCTCCAGTGTTTACTCACTGATATCAGCGAGTAAACACTGGAGCATCAGTCAAATCTGAATAGTTAGAGAGATTAAAAAAGTTCAAAGGAAGATAATAACTTGACATTCATCAGGTTAATAGAAATTTTGTTGCAAATGCATAAACTAGTGGGGTTAGCAACTCTTTTGCACTGTCTCTTTGCTATAATTATACAGTCGTCTGAAGTTGTCTCCTTCGTTTATTGTTTACAAAAAGGGTTTTTGTTAACATATAGATCATGAAATTATTTTCCTATCCAAACCTACCTGGCCTTGTGTAACCAAAATAGGCTGGTCATGCTCAGAAAATCCCCCGAGTTCCTCCACAGTGAAACCCTCATTGCCAGTTATCTCAAATGCTTGATTGCAGTTCTTGCTGCTGCCACCAGTTCACCAGGGCCAGGTAGATTTGGATAGCTTTTTCCCCTTAATGATGGAAAGAAGGTAAATTATAATTTAAAAATGTAAATTATTTTAGTTGGAAAATTCTTCCCAACCCAAGTGAAAACCCTACACATAACTGTCCTTATTTTAATATATTTTGACATAACTGTGTGATTGTGTTGTAAAAACAAATTATTTTGTATTTTTACCTGATAAAAACACAATTCAAATCTGTACTGAAATAACCTGGTTGAGTGCGCGACACACTCACCCAGGTCTTCTCAGCTTGGTTAACACAAGTAGCACTTATCGCTAGTGTCGGCAGGTAGCCCACTACATTTTCATCATCAATAATTCCACTGCATACATAATTGATTGGGTAAAATGTACTTCGCTTAGCTAGCAGAGGCCCTGGTTCAAATCTGCCATGATAGTTTGCCAGGAGCAAAACTATCCCTCGCACTAACCTGTATTTTGGGTGACTTCCTGTCAGAGCAGTGATAAAAATGTATGTGTCAGTGGTTGAAGATTTAACTCTACAGCTCTTCCAGCATTAAAATTAAATGATTTGGACAAAGAATTTGGGATATTATACCATAACTGATATATGGGTATACTGGTTAGTTTCCTCTTTGCTTCGGTTTCTCTAGAATATGAAGAAAAGCGTAGATACCAAGCATAATAGCTTTGTGGATTGAGAAGAGCTAAATACATATAGGCTATATTGAATTAGAGGCTAACTACTGCCTCGTGGATTTCATTATATCATATCAGTGGCCCTCATTAGATTTTCAGTGGGCATTTTGGCATTAGATTGGGATTTAGAATTGATCGGCCATCCCCTAATGAAATGTGAGGTTTGTGACCCTCCATGTCAGTGCTTCAGCTCACTGCAGTGCTGTGCCATTTGGTGCCTGTCAGTGTCAGTTGCCCTTCAGCTGACTGAGTAGACAACACAAACTCCTGTCCTTATACAGTCCACCGCGGTTCATCTCTTAATTGTCTCCTAATACGTAAATTGATTAGAGGACAGTTTATTTGCAAGAGATGTGTTGCCTTTAAGTATTAGATAACAGGAACATTTAAAAAATGCACAAGCACAACCCCTTAAATGCTTATGGTAAATACTTCACTAAATGAAAACAACTGACAAGCAAATTAGCTTAGCCAGTATTTGTGCAGCTTCTTAACCTCAGACAGTCATTTATAAGATGCCAAAATAGCCAAACTTGCACAGGATGTTCGTCTTTTTTTCTTACTTTCTAAAGATAGTACTGATGCTATAAGAGTAAAAATATTCAGCCTATAAAGAAGGAGAAAATGCGAAGGTTGAGAGAAAAAAAATGTTTTGCACAGACAGAGGCAGCTAGCTTGATCTCATTTGGTGTCGAGGCTACAGCAGCATGGGCAAATCTGTGGCAACATGTCAACTAGCTCTGTCCAACAAGTCTGCAAGGGGATGTGCATTTGGGGTTGATACTGGACTGTAACATCTGGACCTACCGTGCCATTGCAAAGAGAGCACGCTGGCAGCTGTCTCGGCTCTGCAGCTGGGCGTGACATTGATGGTGTTAACTGGAAAAGCATACACACATGCAAAGTGACAATCCTCCCTCCTTCTGTGGCCTAATTTGCACAGCTGTGATGAACCTCACATATCTAATGTCTGTGTAAACAGACACAGCAAAGTTGAGATTGTTTAAGATGTTTGCACATGGAAGCCATAGTGGAAGAAAATACTCAGCTGAGCTGAGAGACAGATGTGTATGAAGTAAAGATAATGACATCCGAATAGCGAGACACCAAGAGGCGTGCTAATTGCTGCAGGGATTCAAAGTAGAGACGGCTTGGGAGAGCAGTGAAAAGCAGGAGTGCGAGGCAGGAGACGGCTGTTCAATAAAGGCAAAGAGGAGATGGAGAATAGACGAGGCAGTAATAGTCTGATGTTTATGAGTGAGCCACTCCATAACCTTCTCCTATCCTACTTTTAGCCAGCATTAGTGCCACTCAGCTCAGGCGCCCATGGACCCGCCTGCCATAGCAGTGCCATCTTATTGTCCCTGTAGGCCTCACCTCAGCTTTGCTGCCACGCCGTTGCTAGTGTCACACTTCTATTAACCCTCTGGGAAGGCTTCCCATCAGGCTGCTAGCACTTCCAACACACACAAGACATTGATGAGTTCTGACATCATCGTCAGACTTTTAGAGGTACACAAGTACAGCAAGCTTTTAGTTTGATGCCATGTAACTGAGTTCATCTGAGTACTGCATGGGATTTTTCAGCTGGCACATAGATGCCAGAGCCACCCTGTGAAATCCAGCCTGGAGCACGTTAGACAAATGAATGCATCTTCCTAAGAATCTAAATAAAACTGAATTGAATGAACCTTATTTAGTTTAAACCTCTGATTTCAGGTGGAGATTGTGACTCATACAGGCCCCCATCGGCGCCTGTGGATGGGCCCCCAGTTTCAGTTTAAGACAATTCATCCTTCAGGCCAGACCACAGTCATCTCCTCTTCATCCTCGGTGCTTCAGTCCCAGGGCCCCAGCGATGTTCAGCAGCCCCTTCTGGACTTTGACACAGACGACCTGGACCTCCACAGCCTCAGGTACTTTAAATTTGTTCTCATAGAAATACACACCAGCCTAAACGCAAAGACGATCTACACGTGGAGCTGGTCATTAATCAGAAATTATCCTAATATTCTAATATTCATGGATAGAGTCCACATCAATGAAGCCTGTAGTGTCAGCAGCTTTATACTTAATCACTGAAACAACAGACCAGATCCAGTTAAATAAGCATCTGGATCCCAGTGGACGTGTGTTCTTTATGTGTGCGCGTGTGTGAGTGTGTGTATTAACGGATGCATAACAAACATGTTTAGGATCCAGCCAGTACGCTCAGAGCCTGTCAGCATGCCCGGCTCATCGCGGTTGGTGGCTGATCGTCGTGGCCAGTCCAACATCATGGATGCAGGATCAGGTAAGAAACTTTAAACATCCCCTCTTCTGTTTTGCGGTACACCTTTGCTTCTTCTCTTTCATTGTTTTACTGCAGATACTTTGCTGAGGTGTGAAGTTGTTAAATGCATCTTGTTCCCATCAGTTATATCAGCTGAGGCTGTTACATTGTTTCCGCTCTGTCTTCTGTACTTCACACATTCATGCAGATGTTAAAACCTATCAAATCGACAGTTATGTCTAATAATGAAAAATGACACAGAAAAAGTGTATGTTTATACACTTGATACAAAAGCCTTTGTTGGTGATGTCCAATATGAAAAAACTAGTTGCTCAGGTTCGTCTTCCACACAAAAAGTCTTCGTGGGTCCTCCCCATAAACTCTGAGCTTTAGTTCATTCCATAGAGTTTCAATTAGCAATAACAGCTGAACTGAGTCTCCTCGACGTCTCCTCGTCATCATCCTGGTAGATGGCAGCAGGTTTTTTTGTGTTTTGGGGTGATATGCGCAGCGCCTTTTGACCTTGTATTTCACAGCCGTGTCTAAATGTTGGTCAGCAACCTTTAAACCTGCTTTCAGCATGCTTTTTCTTAACCCACCGAGTGTGGTGAGTGTTCATAAAGGCCATGGTGGTTGAGTGCATTATTTATTTATTTATTTTTTTAATCACTTGTACCTGCTGATTCCAGGTCTTTCTGTTGCTCTCCAGAAGTGATCCTTGCTTCTTGGACAACTCTTCTGATAATTGTTTTCCTTCCTGTTTGAAATGAGCACCAGTTTAAGGTGAAAGGGATTTCCATTTCTGGATTATAGCCCCACTGACACCTTAGGCTACGTTCACACTGCAGGCGAAAGCGCATCAAATCCGATTTTTTTGACCCTATGTGACCCATATCCGATCATGGTCTGACAGTGTGAACGGCACAAATCCGATATTTTCAAATCCGACCTGGGTCACTTTCGTATGTGGTGCTGAATCCGATTCATATCTGATGTTTCAGAAAGCGACTGCTGTTTGATGGTCATGTCGCATTAAATCCGTCTTTTATGTCACTGACACAAGACAGACGCCAATTATCTGCTCCGGAGAAGACATCGCGAACGCTTCCTGGCCATCCCGTGTAGATGTCAGTGAAACTGTTGGGAAGACAATGTTGGAGAAACGTGAACATTTTTTTGTACTGTATAATCTGCAGATTCTGGCAGAAATCTGCAGCTAGAAGCAGCGCTCCTCTAAAACAGCAATAAGGATCATTATTAGGTTATTTACATTATTATGTAAATAACAAAATAACTTAAAGCAAAAATTGGGAAACGTGAAGTCCGAAACAAGTCTTTATATTAAGGCCATCAGTCAAACATACTGTTGCTCTGGGTCTAAACAGAGCGCGTTGTGTGTGACGTCTTCTTTTGCGCATGCAGCCGCTTTGAGCGTTCACACTAGAGCGCGTTTGCTGTCGCATTTTATTTGTAGTGTGAACGAGCAGACAAAAACATCGGATTTGATCAAAAAATCGGAGTTGAGCTTTAAGACCTGCAGAGTGAACGCAGCCTTAGAAATTCTTCTACAACTATCAGTATGTTTTGCAACAACTTAGAGCTCACTGGTTTTATCATGAGATGTTTCTTTTATGACGTCTTGGCAATGAGACGCATTTTTATAGGCCATAGAAATTGAAAATGTAAAAATTCATTAGAATTTAAAAAACACTTTATTCACTTACTTCTTTCTCTTTAATTGATTTACACATTTAAGCAGTTAGGTTTATGGTATATGATATCTCACAGCTAGACGAACACAAAAAATGTCTATAAGTGGGCTAAAGTGCTGTAACATTCCTGGTTGGAATTATAAAGTAAGTGTCCCAAAATAGCTGTGCTTTTTTGAAGAGGTGCATACTAATAGAAGTAACAGGTAATCATTTCTTTGCTTCAAGGTTTATGACAGACACGTTTCCAAGGTGTAACACGAAAGGATATAAATCATTTTAAAAAACACCATCCACTCATGCCCCTCTCCACTCATCCTTGTCAGGGGCGTGGGGAGGCGGGCTGGAGCCTATCCCAGGGTACACCCTGGACGGGTCACCAGTCTGATGCACAGACTGGGGACACCTACGGGGAGTTTCGAGCTGCCAATTAGCCTAACCCAGCTAACTGCACGATAGTCATGTTTATGACCATATCTGCAAAGAGATTCGCTCTGTTATTGAATAACAGCTGAACAATCCCATCCAGGTGGATTAGGAGTGCAAAGCCTTTTACACTCTTAATCTGCACTTCTGCTACATCCCACCATACACAGCTATAGATGTTCTCTGGCATTGCTGTTGTATTCCAGTGTATTTATATGCACTGTGTGACAGTGTGTCTGAATAGGCTTGCAAAGTCTATTAGCTATTTGACAGGATTGATTTGACTCCAAGTGATCTTTAATAGCATGGCTGCTTTAATCTGGTTACGATGTTTGATAATCCAATCCCACTCAGAGGATTTCCTGTAAAATATGTCTTTTACTCTCAACACAGGCATTGCGAAAGTGTGTTTGTGAGCCTGGTCCTACTGCCAGTGGGTTCGAGGAATCATCCTTTATTGCGTGACATTATATCCTGTTGTTCTGCGTTTGATAAAGGAGATAGAGAAGCGTCTGTGGCATCTGTGGCATTATCTGCTGCGTCTTGTGACAGAGTTTCATTCATCTGATCTGCCCTCACACTGACACACAGCCACCACTCGCTCAGTCAGGCGTCAAGAAATATTTGCGACGGGTGTCACAAGAAGGTGTGTCACAAATAGTTTTACACATCTGATTGCACGTCTTTTGTCGTCCAGCCTTTGCTTTCCAACACGTACCCAGAGGTGCTTTATGAACCGATTCACGTAGATGCGGTTTGACCATTATTTATTTACCGTGTTTGTCTTTGCTATTTAACATGACCACTTTCTGCCATTCACCCATAACCTGTATTTACATTATTTAAATACATGTTACAAAACAAATCCCACACATTCGGCCGTAATATCGTGTTTTAAAGAAAAGGAAAACAGAAGGTACCCGACTATTTTGTTAACATGTAGATTTGATAGAATTAAATTCCACTTCACAGATTATGAAGAACAAATCTTTTTTCAGTAATGTAATTATTAATGGTTAAAGCTGTTTCACAATGATTAATTGTACATTTATAATAAATTAAACAATATAATGAAATCCAAAGATTTCGCTGAAATGTTTAAAGAGGAGGCAAATTAAGTTTGACATACACAAATATATTAGGCTGTGTTTATAGTACCCACCCTGGTTTATCGTCTGTCTTCACTGCTTGGAATTTTGGTATTTATTTAATTATTTAATAATGAAATAAATTATAAACCTTGTGATTTATAATACTGAAACACATTACAGATGTCTTTCTTATTGAGTCTTTGTGGCTCTTGAAGCTCATTCACGCAGGCTCTGTGATAAACTGTTGAGGTAAATGTTCATTTACATCCTCTGATGTGCTTATTTGTTTACATATTTGCAGTTTTTGTGGTGATAAAACAAAAGCATTGGATAACCTTTCAGTTTCATTGGTGAGGCAGCTCTGCTGTGATCTTCAGAGCGTTACGTGTCTTTCACTTTGACAGAGGGACGTCACCAGGACCGTTCGATGCAAAAATTCTGAAGATGCCGCGTATGCACCGAGGACTTAAAGCAGTTATTAAGGGATGATATTGATTCGTAAAAGGGAATATGCAGGCAGTGTGTAGGGTGATTTTGAATGTGGGGAATGTGAAATTCTACCTGTACTGACAACGACATTTCTGATATGGTGACATCTCTGCTTCCACCTCTGCTCATCTTCTTCCTTCAGCCATCTCCAGCCAGCGTCCTCTGTGTTTTCTGTGTTCTCTCACTGCTTCAGAGCAGAGAGAGACAGGACAGAGCCAGGCCGAGGGATGGAGGTGATGCTTATCAGTGTCTGTGTGTGTGGGTTTGGGGTTGTGTCCTGCCACTGCCATGGCGCCGCCATTATCACAGACGCACATCACTTTGGTCTCACCCTCTGCAAAATGAATGCGTGTGGCAGAACTTTGGTTGAAGGTGCAGACAGTTTATCTAAGTGACTTCAGATCATTTTAAAAGTGAGTATTTGCAACCGTGGTTACAAGAATACAGAGAAAGCTGATGAAAACTGCTACAATTCAGTTTTAACTTGAACATTAGCAACATTTATCGACTTTAAGATGAAGACAAATAATGTGCCAGTGTGCAGTTTGTTAAGACCAGTCATGTCATCAACGTGACTGCAGTTGGCTGAGCCAGCCCCCGTAGACTCCCGTGCTGAAATCCCAAACTTTAGAGCAGAAATAAATATATTTTCCAAAATCTGCATTAAGGCTGATGGTGATGTATAGTTCAGAGCATGGCCACTGTGAAAAACACGTGGGTAGTGTTTCTTCTTGATGTACTGAAATACAAACCAGGTAGTCAGCTGTTTTACCAACTGTCAGCCAACTATAGGAGCATCTGGTTTAATGAAAACAAACAATAATCTGACAGTAACATAGTTTACATAATAGATTTGGGCTGGAACACAGCCACTTGTTGCTGTTGGTTTACAGGTCCATCAGGTGTGTTATAGGAGCTGCGGTCAGCATGCATTCATCTTTATTCTGACACAAATATTAATGATGTCTATCTTTGGTTAGTGTATGGTTCTGTCCACTTAGTTATGTCTGTTTAAACTGGTGCTGTAACATCATACAGTTACTGTGGATTCTAAAATGTGTTCTGCTACTTGCTAACAATAATCTTTAAATCTTATCAGACTTTAAAAAATATTTATTTATTTAATACTAGGGCTGCACGATTTTGCATAAAATGAGAATCACGATTTTTTTGCTTAGAATTGAGATCACGATTCTCTCACGATTCTCTTTTCCAGTATAAATATTTATTGCACTTATTAACTGCACATCAACTTCGTAACAGTTGAGACTGAACATAAAAACAATAAATAAACATAAAAACAACA